CCCCCAGAAAAAAACCAAAACCAAAACCAACAACAACAACAACAACAACAACAACAACAACAACAACAACAACAAACAAACTGTAGTATTTGAACGACCCCCCGCGAGAGTGGTCAGGAAAAAACAGCCACGAAAACATTTGAAAAGTCACTGTCCCAGCGCGCTGGGATCGCTCACCATCTCTCCAGCGTTTCGTCCGCTGCACGAGGTGCTTGTTGTCGAGGAGGTCCCGTCCGAAGTCCTCGACATTGCCGCTCCCCGAGAAGGTGCTCCCGATGCCCGAGATGACTACCTCGTTGCTCATGGTGGTCTGTTGGAGTGGAGCACTCGCGAGGGAATGCCAGTGCGAGCCCGGGACCGTTCTTAAAGTACAGCGTGGAGTACAGCGCTGACAACAAAACGGAACGTGCCGAGCCCGCCCGGACGCAAGCTCCCAATCCCCCCACCACCACCGGATTGTTATTCCCATCCAGGCTATACGGCTGTGGCCTACTTTGCTAATTCCAACAGTGTAATTAGGCTTTTGGAACATTGACAGCCGGGGGAGGGCGGCGGTTGACATATGATAAGAAATTCTAATTACCAATTACGTTGGACAGTCTGGTGGATTTCGTGTGATTTCCCAAAGAGTAAAATGCCAAGAACGTTTATAAACCCGCCCTGCGACCTCATTTCATCTGTTTTGAATTCGATGCATGCCGTTATGCCGTCCTCATGGCCGGCACATTTCTTTCCCGACGCATGGATCGGAGGCAAACCCAGTGAGAACACAAAGTTAGAACAACCCACAACAAATGAGTCTCTTTATTGTTGTTAAAAAGATCAGGAAGAAGATAGCAAGATTTTAATAGGGTGTTTCAGACCATACGAGATGGAAGTAGAAAAGTAACAAACTACCGATTTTTCTCCTTCCGCAATGGTCCTATTAGACCATTGGGATCATCCAGAAAGTACGTCCGCCATTCGCCGTTCCGGACCAGCCAAGTTTAGTCCCAGCGAGAACTCATAGCGCCTGTTAGGTAGGCAAAACATCTTGTCTGCAGTGCATGCGTGTACTGCGGGCTGGCCTACCCTGAGTCTTGCAGGCGCCCAGCTCCCGTAATTAGGCAATTGCATCTGAGGAAAATGGACGTACTTTCTGGACGATCCCATTTCTGTAGGTCCGTTCCAGGCGAGTGAGAAAGAAAAGAAGAACCAAACCGAATATAGATTTGCAAATCGCAACTCTCTAACAAGGCGGTGGTCCTGCCGTCCCGCCCACCACCATGTTTGCAGGCTTCGGCTGGGCAGTCTGTTTCCGGTTTGGTTCTTCTTTTTTTCCCACCTCCCACACTTGACTGGGACAAACTAAGGCCGACCTGATCCCGTACCCCGTGCCTCCCATAGCTAGCCCTACACCGTGCCTGCTACACCCGACCCGCCCGACGAAGTGAGCCGGGCAAGTCAAGCAAAGATTTCACCCGACAAAAGATACAGCTTCTGGGACACCGGCACTAGGCTGCCCTTCTCCCCGGTACGCTCACACGACCGTGGCCAGGCTCGACCAGCAAGGTCGAGGGGTGAGGTTGCGGGGGTTGCGGGGACCGGCGGCACCTAGTGTGGGTCGGCAGATGGACTTGTCGGGCGAACCTTACCCGACCTCATCGTGTGACGTAAGCGATGGAGACAGTTGCCGGCCACACAGTCCTATGTATCTCCTCTTGTGTCAAGCAAGCGCCGATACTCATACCCGCCCAATCGAAAACACTAGTGCCTCCACGGATTTCAAGGTATGAGAAACTGTCACGCCAGATTCGAGCTCCCCACTTTATTTGAAAGGTGAGAATCGGACCAAATAACGTACCATGGCAATTTCTCATGCTCCCTGGGCGGAAACAGATAAATCCGGGAGTTCGTTCTTTTTCACTTCTTCATCGTCCCCTTTCATATTAGATATAGTCCAGAACTCTATATAACAAGTGAAGTTACAGGCTGCTGGTGTCCTATTCTTTCTGGTCTTCTTTACACCGATATAATGCCTCATTCTGTACACGACCTCGGCTTAAGCAGCGCACCCTAATAGTTGTCGTGATAATAGCGAAGCAACAGTGGTGTGGTTGATGTGGCTCAACCTAGTTATATTTTCGTACATAAAGTTTGTGCGTAATATCGTTGTGTCAGGTGGGTTATACAGGGGGGGGGGGAGATGGATCGCCCCCTCATCGTCTCTAGTGAGCTGCCTAAAGGTGGTAAACTTGTACCACAAAATCCCTGCAAGTAGGCAACCCACGAAGTAGCAGTTCCCCTGTCAGCCGGACGTTATAAACGGCACCAGCTGTGTTGTGTAAGGTGTCATGTTGTAAAGTGTTTGGGCAAAAGTGGTTCAAACGAGTTGCGATTTGCATTGTTTTGAAAATAAATGGAGGTATTTAAAAATTAATATGCACATTTATTATCACCCATTCTAATGCTAAAATATCAGAGCGACGAGCTCGCTAGGGTAATGGCGAGGCGCAGGTCGGCCTCGCCAGCGAGCTGCGACCAGGCAGCATTCTCGTTGATGAGGGAGGCCAGCGCCTCGCTGTCCAGGCTGCGGTCCGCGAGGGTACGCACCTTGACGTGAGGGTCCTTGTCCTGGAACGAGACACCTGTTGACACCTTTGTACGACGGCGTTTCGTTAGAGAGCAAGCACCACGTGTTCAACTCACGCTCCGTCCCAGCGACTGCAGCTCGTCCTCGCCGATATGCACGACGTTCACGTAGCCGGCAAAGGGCCGGGATACGTCAGACTTGTGCGCTGCGACAGCCTCCAGAAGTTCGTCGAGGACCTGAGCTCCCTCTTCGGCTTGGGCCGCCTCGCCGTTCAAAAGCCCGTCCCGGACACCATCAGCAGCGTCCCCGCCGAGGCGCTGCTGCGCCCACTGCTGCACCCTGGTAACGTCGCCGTGCACCAGAAAAAGCACGCCACGCTTGCCAGCCGCCTCGAGCTGGCGCTGCACCTCGAGCGCCAGCACCGTGCTCAAGCGCCAGCCCAGCAGGTTGTAGGGCCCGTGAGGCTGGCGCTGCAGCACCGTCTGCACCACGGCCTTGGCTGCGACCTGGACGCTGTCCCCCGGCGTGGTCTCCACCACCAGCACGGGGCTGAACAGCCTGGCCGCGAGCCCGGCCAGCTGGCTCTTGGAGG